GAGCAGCTGATATTTGACAAAGGCCCGAAGTCTGTCAATTGGGGAAAAGACAGTCTCTTTAACAAATGGTGCCGGTATAACCGTATATCCATCAGCAAAAAAATGAAACAAGACCGATACCTCACACCATGCACAAAAACTAACTCAAAATGGATCAAAGACCTAAACATAAAATCGAAAACAATCATGGAAGAAAAAACAGGGACAATGCTAGGAACCCTAACATATGGCATAAACAGAATACAAACCATAAGTAACAATGCACAAACACCAGAAGAAAAACTAGATAACTGTGAGTTCCTAAAAATCAAACACTTACGCTCATCAAAAGACTTAACCAAAAGAGTAAAAAGACAATCTACAGACTGGGAAAAAATTTTTGGCTAAGACTAATCCCATCAGGGTCTAATCTCTAAAATCTACAAGATACTGCAAAACCTCAACAACAAAAAGACAAATAACCCAATGAAAAAACGGGCAGAGGATATGAACAGGCACTTCACCAAAGAAGACATTCAGGCAGCTAACAGACACATGAAGAAATGCTCACGATCATTAGCCACTACAGAAATGCAACTCAAAACTACAAATGGCAGAGAATATTTCTACATAGGTATTTGTACGTGCTGCAAATATATTCATGTATGTAGTATAGCACATAGGGACAAAGTTACAAAAACTAAGCCATAACCAAACACCTTCAGGGACTGGGTCACCATGCACGAGGGCTTAGGACCGTAGTCTCAGGGGACATCTAAGTCAATCGGCATAACATAGTCCATTAAGTCAGTGTTCTATTCCTACTTTGGTGAGTAATGTCTGCGGTCTTCAAAGCTTGCAAGAGGCCATCTAAGATATGATTATTGGTCTCTTCCTGTCTGGAGCAAAGAAGAGTGAAGAAAATCAAAGACTCAAGGAAACAATTAGTCCAAAGGACTAGTGGACCACACGAACTACAGCCTCTACTAGCCTGAGATCAGAAGAACTAGATGGCATCCAGCTACCACTACCAACCACTCTGATCGGGATCATGATAGAAGGTCCTGGACAGAATGGGATAAAAATGTAGAATGAAATTCAAATTCACAAAAAAGACCAGAGTTACTGATTTGATAGAGACTAGTAAAACCCCCGAGACTACGGCCCTCAGACACCCTTAAACCTGGAACTGAACCCACTACCAGAGATCTAACAGACAAGCCTATAAAGTGAACAATAACACCAGTGAGGAACGTGCTCCTCAGAATAATCAATCATACAAGACCAAAAGGGCAGCACTTGCCAAAAAACAAAGTTCAGAAGGCAGGAAGGGACAGGAAAGATGGGCAAATGCAAACAGGGAACCCAGGGAGGAAAGGGGTAGAGTGCTGTCACATTGAGGGGATTGCAACTAATGTCACAAAACAAAATGTGCATACATTTTTCAATGGAAAACTAATTTGCTCTGTAAACTTTCACCCAAACCACAGTAAAATGTAAAAAAAAAAAAAAAAAAGTGGAAAAGTTGGAGAACAAGGTTATATTTTATCTGTGCCACATAGGAACCAGCTTTGTGCTGATTCTTATAGTCAGGGTTATCATTTCAGTTGGTGTCCAAGAAATTCTCCCTTTTACATCCTGCTAACACTAATTAAAAAAAAAATTGAGTAGCTATATTAACATCCAATAAAATAGACTTTGGAGCATAGAATATTCCCAAGGATATCATCATAATGATAAAAGGTCAATTCATCGTGAAAACACAGCAATCCTAAACATTAATACACGAAATAAAAGTGCTTCAAAATATATGAAGCAAAAACCTATAGAACTGCAAAGAGAAACAGAAATCCAAAATCAAAGTCAGAAATTTCAACACTCTTCTCTCAATAACTGATTCCATAAGAGACCAGAAATCAGTAAGAATACAGAAGACTTAAACATTAGCGACCAACTTAACTTACGTTTGTAGAACACTCCACCCAGCAACAACAGAATATGTATTCCTTTCAAGTGTACGCAGAACATTTACTAGACAGACCATATTCTGGAACAAAAATCACGTCTGAATAAATTTTAAAGTATTCAGTCATAAAATGTATGTTCCCTGATCACAACAGAACTAAATTAGAAATGAATAACAGAAAAGTGTCTGGAAAATCCTCAAGTGGCTGGAAACTAACACATTTAAATAACCCACAGGTCAAAAAATGAAATCAAAACAAAATTTTAGACAGTATTTTGAACTGAATATAAATGAAAACGCAGTATCAAAATATGTGAGATGCAGCTAAAGCAGTACTTAGAGACTTAACAGGAAATTTAGAATACTAAATACTTAGATTCTTTGATCTTAGCTTTCACTTCAAGAAGCTAGAAAAAGAGCAAATAAACTCAAAGCAGAAGAAAAAATAAATAAATAAATAGAACAGAGTACAATAGAAAACTACAAAAAAATTAAAGAATATCAATGAAATCAAAAGTTAGTTCCCGAAGATTGATAAAATTGATAAATCTCTAGCCAGAGTGGTCAAGAAAGGGAGAAGACACGAATTGCTAATAAACAGGAACGAGAAAGGAGACATCATCACAGATCCTACAGACATTAAAAATATAATAAAGGAACATCATGAGCAACTTTATGCCAATAAATTAAAAAACTAAGATGAAATGGACAAATTTCTTGAAAGATAAGCCACCAAAGCTTGCTGGAGAAATCTATCTATATCTATTAAAGAAAACAGATTTACAAGTAAAATATGAAATCTGCTAATTGATAGTGATTATCTTAACGTTATATACTGGCTGATTTCTTTCATAAACTATTTTTACTTATCTGTAGTTAAAATTTTTCTGATGTTTACTATTTTTTCAGTTTACTAATCAAAACTGTATGTACAGTATGATCACAACTATGATAAAAAACAGTACATTAAAAAAATCTGCTTACTGGTACTGCAGAAATGTACTAGATTTAGCAGTATGAAAGTAATGAGGGCAATTTCAATAGCTGTGAGGCAGAAAGCCATACTGCAATGAGTTGAAAATGAATGGGAAAGGTTAACCAGATTTTAACGTTTATCTAACATTAAAATTTTAACACCTCTCATCTACGTAAAGCTTTAACGTGACTCTAATAAACCATAAAAAATTTAATATCATTTCACAACTTTATCTTAATGATCTTAACAGAATACAAAAACCAGAGCTATTGTGAAAATAAGAATTTTCCCTTCCTATTTTCATTAAAATGTTTATTCTTAAAATAAACCTATTACTAACTTCCTTTGATCCCTGATCCCAATGTTCACAAAATGAGCCACAGAATATTCTAACAGATAATTACAATATTAATACCTTTGAGGTATAAAGCATTAAAAAAAAATTATGAACTGTATCAATCTACAACAAATTTTAAAGATATTTACTCACCTTGTAATCCTATGGAGGAGGAAAATTGTCCTTTTACTTTCAACAGTTATATCCCGACTAAGTTTCACAAGTCTTTCATATTTGTCATGTCTTGCATCCAGTTCCTGCTGAAATGCTGAAAACACATTATAATGACCATAAGGATGCATATTCTATATTTGAAGCCTATCGAACCATATAAAAGAATGCATATGACAATATGAATGAGGACAATGGCTGTAGACACCTCCCCTCATTTATTAAGGAATAACACAAGCAGAATGTGGTGGCAATGACACATTCAAACAGTATCACCTACTGTCTACAGTGCTCTAAATTGTCAAACATTCTAAGTGTGCATCACTAAAGCTTTAAAGGTCTACTTAATATTACTCAACTTGTCAATAATGGGACCAAATGTGTAAACCTTTAAAAATAATTATCCATTTATCTTTTTCTTCAAATGCCAGCAACACACAGAAACACACAAAGTCCTGAATCTTTGTAGATTTTTAAAAAAATCTGTAAAGTCTACCAAAGTAGCATTAGTCTAAGACAAATATGCAATAAACTTAAAATGAATACTACGGTATGTGAATTTTATTTCAATTTTTAAAAAGCCACTATAAATACCACAATTTTTAAACACTGAATAACAATCTAATTAATCCATTTATTTTAGATTGCACATAATCTCAAATTTATATTATCTTACCACGTAGTAACATTGTGTACATAACCACAATACATGTGGGAAATGCTTACCTATTTTAAAGATTATAAAAAAAAGACTGAAAATAAAATTCACAACCATTACGTGAGTCGGATTTGTTATAACTAGAGGACTAAATCATTAAGTAGTTTTACAACTGACAGAAGACTACAGAGTTCTTCTGAAAATGATCGGTAAGAAACATTAAACCATGCACTAAGTGGTTACGTCAGGAAAAGGTCAACTGAAAAGTGAGTCAAAAGTCAGGATTTAAGAAATCTAGAAAAAGGAAAAGTCAAACTCAGAGAGAACTAGGAAGTAAGAGTTTCTAAGGAAAAAAAAAGGCTGAATGCAGACTGCTGTTTCCAGTTAAACCCACTGCCATCAAGTCAATTCCAACTCATAGTGACCCCATAGGGTTTCAAAAGTTGTAAATCCTTACATAAGCAGACTGCCACGTATTTTTCCCAAGGAGCCGCTGGTAGTTTCAAACAGTTGACCTTTCAGTTAGTAGTCAAGCACTTTAACCACTGTGCCACCAGGGCTCCTTCATCCAGTTAGCTTCTATAATATTTTTGATTCAGCACTTTCACATATAAATTAATCCTCAATATGGAAAACTTACAGTAGACACAAACTCCCCTATAACAGAATATTATATAACCACAAAGTTTTTTTATTTGTTTCAGTCCTGTTTTTCCTATTGAATTACAGAACAAAGCATTTTTATAATTCTAACATGGCACTACATGTTCAGACGATATTTCTTGAATGAACAAATGCTTGCTAAGTAATATACGGCGCAGTGGTTAAAAGCTCAGCTGCTAACCAAAAAGGCTGGCAGTCTGAATCCACCAGCTGTTCCCTGGAAACCCTATGGGGCAGTTCTACTCTGTTCTATAGAGCTGCTATAAGTCAGAATCAACTCAACGGCAACAGGTTTGGTTTTGGGTTTTTTTAAGAGTACATGCTATAGTTTGAGATAAACCTAGTTCCTCATCAATGGTGTGTATCTCCTGATAACTAAAAAGTTTTTGAAAACAAAGCACAAATCCACAGCCCATTAAGCATTGCCTCTAATGTGGAATGAATACTGTGTCTTACACGTTACTTTTCAAATATATGCTGATGCTGTTAGAATATAAATTTTTCATAAAAAATATTAATTTTAAAGTATTGCCTAATCTGTCTTATCACCATCATTACTACCATCTTAATCTAAGTTACCGCTGTACCTGTATATGGAAAAACCTCTTACCTCATTTCTCTGCTTCCACTTACTCTTGCCTTTCTACAGCGACCAGAATGTTTTGTTTTTTTTTTAATGTATTTTCATTTTTAAGATTCTAATGGCTCTGAATTACATTTAACAAATTCCAAACTCCTTATGAGGCCTTACAATAGCTGGTCCTTTGCAATAATTGAAAAAGGACACATCACTTAAAAGGACACATCACTTAAAAGGACACATCACTTAGGTAGTATTCCAGTCAGAATGCATACCTGAATCTTATCATGAGGAAATATTAATCAAATCCAAGTTAAGGAATATTCTATAAAATAACAGGCTTGTATTCTTCAACAATACTGTCATGAAAAAGAAAGGCTGAGAAATTGTTCCATATTAAAAAAACGGTAAAGAGACACGACAATGCAATGTGATTCTGTACTGGATACTGGACTAGAGGGAAAAAAATTCTACAAAGAACATTACTGGGACAATTGACAAAATATGCACTGAGGATTAAAGTATTGTTTATCAATGTTAAACTTCCTGAAATTGATAAGTGCACTATATCCTTGTTCGTTGGAAATACATTCTGAAGTATTAAGAGATAAAGTGGCACAATGTATGCAACTTATTCCCAAATGGTTCCGAAAAAATAATGTGTGTGTATATATAAATTTACAGAAAGAGTGATAAAGCAAAAGGGGCAGTATGTTTAAAATTGGCCAATCTAAGTAAAGGCTATATAGAAGTTCTCTGTGCTATTTTTCCAACTTTTTTATAAGTTTGAAATTATTTCAAAATAAAAGGCTAAAAAAGGAAAAATACGCCTTTATGCAGATGAATCAACAATGCTAAAATATTCGTCTCATGATTCTTTTCGTTAATTTAACTCTGCACCTTCATAGTAAAGAAGGTGCTAGGACATTAAAAATACTGAAGCACCACTCAAAAAACCCTGGATTTAAGTTCAAGTCTAACAAATCATACCATCTCACCAAAGTTTTTCTAGAAGCTGGTGTTTCTCATTAAAGACCTTCCACGGAAACCTTTCCTCCTTTCTGAACTCTCCTCTGACACATTAGTAAACTTTCATTTACATTAAACTTTTACAAAAATACTTGATAAAGCTAACAAAAGTAAAAAAGAGAAATGATCTGAACTTTCTTAAAATACAAGCTGCTGGAAGCAGTGGTTTTCACTTAAAAATATCGTTGCTATGCACAATAAAGCAATTACTTACAGTAATAAAAATGAAGAGCACAAAATCATCTTAATTTCTAAAGTACCTGGAAATCAAAGTGCTCTGCCAGTAACCAAATAACTATTTTCTTTAAATATAGATATGCCTTAACTGGGTTTTACCATTGGTAGATAAACTTTTCCCTTGATGTTATATGATCTGTATTTCTAGGAGTGACTTTCCCCAAGTTGTTCCAAAGACCTCTACTGGACTACAGAATTCTTGGCCCTGACAACGTCCAATCGGCTGTACTTAGTGACTCACCTCTAACAAACAGAACGTGGCAAAAGTGACAAGGTATGATATCCAAGATTAGGACATAGAGGGGATGTGGTTCCCACTTCCTCTCTCTCTGCACTCACTCACTCTGGGGGAAGCCTGATGCCAAGATGAGTATACTCAAGCAGCCCTATGAAGGAGTCCACATGGAGAGGAAGAGAAAACTGGTTGTTGGCAGAAGGCCTAATCTGCCAACAGCCGTGGATCCTTCAGCCCCAATCAAACCTTCTGATGATTACAGGTCAGAACCAGCTAAGCCCCTACCAGATTCCTGAACCACAGAAACTATAAGGTAGTGGATGGGGGGAGTCCCTGAGTGGTACGAACAGTTAACACACACAGCTGCTAACCGAAAAGTTGGGGGTTTGAGTCCACTCAGAGGCACCTCGGAAGAAAGGCCTGGTGATCTATTTAGAAAAATTTGCCATTGAAAACTCTATGGACCAGAGTTCTACTTTGACATACACGGGGCTGCCTTGACTCAGAATCCACTTGACAGCAACTGGTTTTCTTTTTTTGGTTTTGTTTTTTTTTTTAAGTGGATAGAGGGGAACAAGATGAAAGAGGATTTTGTTTTTTGGTTTTGTTTTGAAATGGGGAATAATTTTACCAAGTCAATATGGTAGAAAAAAGGGCCTGTGAACATGTAAAACGTGAGTTCCCACTGTGTAGAGTACTACAAAGATAAAAACAAAGATACAGCTCACATCTTCAAAAAATCTTATTGAAAAAACAAAACAAACACACATTTATATATATATACACACATACATATACACACACACGGGCACACACACACATACAGAACCCTGGTAGCACAGTGGTTAAGCGTTTGGCTGCTAACCAAAAGGTCGGCAATTAGAATCCACCAGCTGCTCCTTGGAAACCCTATGGGGCAATTCTACTCTGTCCTATAGGGTCACTATAAGTTGGAATTGACTCGATGGCAATGGGTTTGGTTTGGGTATACGTACATATACATACATATACACATATATGTATACGTGCTTGTACGTATATATATATATATATATATATACGGTTATATAATATTGTATAACAGGAAAATGTTATCAGGTTTGTAACACTTTTTAACTATGTGGCAAGTCTAATGTTAACTAATGTTTACCTGTGGAACTGAAACAGGAAAAAAAATAAGACCAAGATGTTTGGAATTCAGACTTTCAGGGCAGACCTAATACCACCCTAAAGTCTCCAGGAAAATTAAAAGGTTCACATCTGCACATCTTAATATCGTAGGGATTGTTTTCTGGTGCACAACATGACTAAATAGTTTTTGTTACAACATCTTAGTTCTCTTCCCTTCGCCAACTTACAAACAACTTACATTTAAAGGCCAACATCACAGGTGAAGATGAATTAACATCCTTCCCTTCTCGTCTTTGGTTATGTGGGAAATTGTCGTGCTTCCTTTTCCTGAACCCACCTGATCCTTATGCAGAGATGAAGAAAAAGTTGGATAGGGCTCTTCCATCACCAAGAGTTGACGAAACAATTTAAGCAAACCCCTTCCTTCCTTTAAAACAACATACCCAGTGTGCCCTCAACTTAGATGAATTTCAGAAAAAACAAAATAAGCCCTTCCTTTTCCCCCCATCCTTAAACTCACCTCACCCAACCTCCCAACGGGTTCCCAGAACTGGAACAAGGTAAAGCAACCACCGAACGCGGATAAAATTACAGCTCGAAAATTTAAGAAAATAAGGCATTTAAGTAAGGTCAATCTAGCCGAGAAAAGCATCAGGGCGGCCGCCACCACCCCCACCCCCCCATCCTGCCGGGGAAGAGGGCATCCCTCAAGGGTGAGAAGTTGAAAACCCAAGAAAGACGCTGAAGATTTCACCTTCTTTGTTGCTCATGTCGTCCCGGCCTACGGTAAGATGAGCGGAAACTGAGGACTTAGAGCGAGCCGGGGAGCGGAAGGTGCCGGCCTTTGGCAGCGGACCGAACCCTAGGAGAAAAGTTAAGTGAAAAAGGAAAGCTCGGTGCAGCCAGCCGACGTCAACGCACTACCCAGAAACGCGCGCCGCAGCGGCCGAGGCCTCTCCCGTCGCCCCTCACACGCACTTCCGGCCTACTCCCCGCCCCGTCCCTCCGCCGCTAGCTCCGCCCACGCGCGCCCTGAGGAACGCGCGCCCTGAGGAACGCGCGCCCTGAGGAACGCGCGCCCTGAGGAACGCGCGCCCTGAGGAACGCGCGCCCTGAGG